TATATATATATATATATACTTATATATATACACACATTATATTTTCAAAAATTACATTCCTAAGAATAGCGTAACTATGAATATTCTTCGTGCATAATTTTAAAAATAAAGTTTGTTAGATTTTTAATATTTTTCAAAATTCAAATAGCACAAGCAAAGTTAGAGTGAAATGAAAAGTATAGTTAGATTTGAAAATAACTACTAGAATATTTTTATCGGAATACAACCCTCATCATGGGAGGATTTTTAGGGAAGAAAAATTGGAGAGAAAAAAATACTTGTTCATAAATTAAAATTATTTTATACATAAATTAAAAATAAATAAATAAATAATATAAAAATATAAATTAATTTATGTATAAATTGGTTTTAAATTTGAAAATTTTATTTTATTTTACTTTTTATTTTTTTCTCCTAAAAATACTTCTTATAAAGTTTAATCGGACAGGAGGATGAGAGCATCCAATAATTGTGTAATTTCCCACATATAACGGATATTTTAGTCTTTAATATAAAACAGCAGGTAATTGATAGTCTCAACTCTCAACGGTCGCATAGAAAATGTCCCAAACCTCTGTATTGCTTAACCTAAAACCACCAATAAAACTTAATAATAAATCGAAAATTGCTCAACATTTTTAATCTTTGATGATAATTTGAGCTTATCAGAAACAAAAATATCCATAAGTCGTTAATTTATATCGTAAAATTCTCTGTTTTGAAGGCAAGCGTGAAAAAAGAAATTGGTTAATAACAGTAAGACATTGCATGGAAGCTGAAGCCGCTAAAGCGCAGTAAGAGGAACAGATGACGGAAAGAGAGGAAGAGCAATACCTTTCAATCAATCTGCCCTTTTCTCTTTTCTCGTTTACAGGGCAAGGATATAGAATTCTAGTTTCTAGACTCCAAGCTAATCAAGTATAAAGCCTTACCGATAAGGACACAAGCTTTTTGTCATAATTATTCAACAATTTTTTTTTTGTAAAAAATAAATAAATTAAGAACAGCGTGTATCTTCCATTTACTCAATGGCAAATTTAGAAACCATCACTTTATCATTGAGGCCCCTTTCCGCTTCTGTTCTCATGTTTCATAGGGGTGAACATGAAATTCCCTGAAAATAGTGCTTCTTTATCTGCCAATTCAATAAAACAAGAAATTAAAAAATGAAAACAATATTTCCATTAGATCTGCTAGAACTCAGTCATTAACATATCTTCCAAAGTCATGTATTCTACTTGTAAAACAACTAACATGCATGGAGTATCTGAGTTCAAAATAACTTTTCGTGTTTCTTTGGGAAGTCAGAACATAATGCAAATATTTAATGCTTGGTGGAAATTCTACATGATTTTAAACTAGATAATCAGAGACCCCAGCGAAATAACGGTGCATGTTAAAATGATCCAGTTTTCCAGTTAAAAGAGGGATTCCAGTCCGAAAGATCGTAGTATAGAAGAAAGTTCAGAAACAAACAGATAAGAAGCATATGGCTATCAATTACAGTAAAACTCAAAATATTCAAATGAGACCCTTGCGGTTTGATCGGGTGCTCTTCAGCTCACTTTACCACAAAGTATGAAGCAGCACGCATTGGCTCATCATTTTTCATCCAGTTCATGATCAATGATATAATACATATACAAACAGTTCTTACAGACAAGAATAAAACAAACTGTATTTACCTGTTAAAGTCATGCAACTTACTTCCCGGCGAGCATACCTGGCCATTGCCTATACAAAAATTTAGTTCAGTATGAATGTGCGTGTACTTGATATAAATGAGGAAAATAAAGAAGCATTGTGAAAACAACAGAAAGCATCGAGCATTTAGGTAAGATACGAAAAGCAAAGGAAACAAAGAGAAAAAATAAATAAATAAAAGATGATGACCTGGAGTTCAAAATGCTTAAAAAGTTACTTTCAAAACAATTATAGACAAAGTTGTAAATTGGCAATCAATAAATTCAGGAAAGAAAGCCCCTAACTCAGTCTATCTACTTCATGAAAATTGATCATTACCCTCCCCTGGTTTGGCAAAGAGACTCCAATATAACTGTAATATGTCAAAATATTGATCAATCACAAAAGGGTGAATTCTTGAAAAGTCAAGTCATGCCAAAATATTAAGTTATTAACCCAGAGTGGTGGCAACTGGTGTCTGGTAATGACAGCAGGTTAAGAAGTAACTTCACTGGTGAAGGGTAAATGGTTAGAATTAATAAGTTGTATGACTTAATTTACTAGTTGCCCCTGGGTCCAACATCTTGGCTCAGTTTGAATTATCAGGGAATACCATGCCCAAAAGCCTAAATTAGAGAGGTCAAACAAAATATTTTCCACAGATAATAATAAAAATCTTACATCATATAAACATACCTGCGCTGATTGAAATGCAGCAGCATCTGGTGCTGAAGAACCATCTTCAGAGAATATATTCCTGAAATCCCAAAAAAAGAAAAGAAAAACAGATGAGAAAAAGATAAACTACAAATATAAGGAAGTAGGTGGTAGGACTGAGTCTTCACTGATTAAATATCCAAACTGAGAAAAGCAGAGAAGGAAATGATCTAATGTTTCCTACTTTCAGCAGGAGCTGGATTCAGATTAGTACGTACCTCCATATAACATTAGAGAAATCACCCGGTTTAGCTTCAGGAAGTATAGCAGTATCATAAGCAACAACGTTCCCATAAAAAATTTTCTCAAGCTCTTTCATCCACTTAGTCAGTAGAAGGTTAACCTGCCATTTCAAATTGAATGATCACAATTCACCAATATAGAGGCTAGTCCTGAAACTGCTTTGCAAAATTTGCAAAAATGGAATTTATGGCAAAATATTTTTAAAACTATTAATAGATAGCAATGCCAAAGTATAGATAATCACTTAATTGTTTCAACAAGGAAAGATAATGGAAAATTTTCATGATTTACATTGTTGGTGAAAATATATCTACTAAGAAATGACTACTTACTCCAGCTTTAGACACTCTTAGCTCCACATCATGATTGTAAATCTCATAAAGGTACTGCCCAAATTCAACACCTTCTTTTCCCTCTTGCTTCAAGCGACGCAAACATAACCACATATGAAGTACAAGTAAAGAGAATGTTGTTTTGAATGTTTTCTCCAAGTTAAACACTGCAAGCGGAAAGAAGAAATTTAGAATGTTACAACATCTAACACTAGTTTGACTTGACAAGTACTAACATAAATCAAACTCCTTCCATGCCATGATTACTTTATTCTAAGTGCAAACAGTTAATTTGTGGAAACGTATATCTAATCACTAAGTACACACTGGCATGGACAAAGTGAAACTTTTCCAATCAAGCAAAAAACAGATGCCTTTCCTTAAATGGTAAGAACTTTAAAAGCATAAAAATAAAAATAAAAAATAAAAAAATAAAAAGTGTCAACAGGAGAAAATATCATCTTTATAAATCAATCAAAAAATGGTCACAAAAATATAGTTTTTAGCTCAATTAAATTTTCTTCCATCAGAAAATATACTCTCTAAAGAAAATATAGAACAAAAAGAAAGAAACATTACCGACCAAAGTGCTACAAACATAGACACTCAGACAACATAGCTTTTAAATCTCTATATTTTCCGCAGGGAAACTAAAATAAACATGAGATAAAGAAAGAACATAAGGAAGTGAAGTAAAGAGTTTCATCCCATAAAACACATGGAGGATGAATTTATTTATCTCTAAAATTCCATGCACAAATGACAAATCCACAAAAACCTTGTATTCGTCTTCTACCAAGTACAAGCCAGCAAGAATTTAAAACAGTTGGTGGCGGTGGAACCTAGAGCTTCCAACAAATGGCAAACAAGAACAATATCAGAGAAAATGGCTAGGAGTTTCCAAACGACCAGGGAAGCATAACAAACATATGTCTAATTTTTACATTGTGAGAAAATCATTGGTTGTGTAAATTATACAACCCGAAACCAGTCTAGCAGACTGAATTGGTTGGACATAGGGACATAGGCACGCGTGTAATCCTTTATGTGTGCGCATAGATGCACGAGTCACAATACAACCATAGTTTATAATTTTATATTTGCTATAAGTAGAACGAACCTTCATAAATAGGAGGTTTATCGACTTGTGAAATGATTCTTCGGTAGACAACATTAGCCCCTCGAATTGACTTGCTCTGCTTGCTATAAAACATCATGAGTTTGAGCATGAAACGCTTGATGCCCTGATAATCAGGTTCTTCAACTCTGAGGGGCGAGTCACGGGGCAGGGCAAGCGAACAGGGCTTAGACCAAAACATTTTGTCTAGGTTAACCTACCAAGTAGAGATTTTCAGTTAGCAACACCGAATCAAGACTATTTCCTTTCCATTCTACTTTCGCGTAGTTCAAGCAACGGTTGAAGAGCGTAAATAAAAGGGTGAAGTTTACGTACCACTGGGGGTTGAGGCTTGTCCTCTATCGTTGGCGCGGGTGCAACACCGGCGTAGGTTTGGCGCGTGCCGTTCTTCGCGAAATTCAAATGGCTCTGCGATCCGAATTTGGAGATTGGAGTAATTGCTCTGCTCCATCTTCGCAACATTCTGATTCCGAATCACAATCACTGGTTAATTGATTGTGTTGTGCACAACCTAGAGAACAGCACAGAGTGAAGAAGAACTGAGGAACTGTTAAAAATATATATATACAAATTGGGAAAAGAGCTTTCAAACTCAACACGGACCAACGGCAGCGGCGAAGGAAAACCAAAGTTTGATGGACTTGGTGTTAACCGGATCCCGGACTATGATGGAACATGTGTACTTGACCCACTGGCCTGTTATGAATTATGACATGTAAGGTTAGTTTTTTTAACTATAATTTAGGGAAAATTCTAACATTAAATAGTAAAAAATGTGGTACATGTATGAAACACTAGTTTTTATCATTGAATTTAATAATATAATAATAAATGATTTGGATTTATTATCGACAACTTGGAAGAAATTATTTTTGTATTTTGCATATTAGTCTCAAGTGAAGGCGGGGAAAATGGCGTTCTTAGCGCCGAAAACATGATACCAGGGACTCAACCTAGATTGGGCCTCCATGTCCTTAGCTCTTGATGTTGGAAATATGATAACAAGGACTAAAACCCATATTGACACTAGAATCTTAAAAGACTTGGATCCGATGACGACCTTGCGGAGGGAAATGTAGTAGTACTCTTTATAAGCAGAGTTGTTGGAGGAGGAGTTGTGGTGAAAAGACGTGTAGGTGAGGTTTTCTCTTTTGGTGTCGCCAGTGGAGGTGGTTTATAGAAGGATTTTGGTGCTTTTGCGTTGAGTCGTTGAAGTTGTGGGAGATTAAGCAGTAGGAGAATCTCCTGAGGGTCATTTACAAGGGGAGGGACTAGTTGTCGCAGTCGAAGCCAACGATGTGAGAGGGGTAGCAAACAGAGAAGATGGAACAACCGACGAGGAAATTGGGGCAGGGCTGGTTATCGCGGCCAAAGCTAGCGATATCGAAGGATTGACAAACAAAGAGGGTGGAGCCTGAACCCTATTTAATATAGGGACCATTTTGCAATTACAAACAAGTCACAAAACTCACTATTACCAATTAAAAATCACCCTCACCCATACACCATCAACCTAACTTCTTCACCTTAGAAGCGTTCATAATTTTGTCCCTTAATTTCTTATATTTGTAGTTCTCAATATCACGAAAAATTGTTATGTGCTCCTTAAAAAGCATTTATCTTGTCCAACATTACTCCCAATGTGATATCTAACTAACTATTTTTATATCGATAAAATTTTATGAAAAATTATAAAAGATTCAATAACTAGTAAAAATCACATAATTTTGATAATTTTAACAAATTTTATGTTGATAATAAATAATATATTAAAAAGGGTGTGTTAACATTTATCTTATTAAAAATGTTATGTATCTTTAATTAATTCTTCAATTTTATCTTAGTTTGACTATTCATTACTAAGCTTATGAAAACTTAGATGGGTGAAGGATTTTTTAAGATGTCATAGACATGAATGGACAAGGTTTTTTTTTTATCGTGACATCACTACTATTATTTATTTGAGGACGCACCTGTACAAGTTGCTAGCCCCATAGGAGACCACATGCACAACAATGTAATGGAGGTCATAGATAACGTTGAAAGGGATGGGATGAACCTAGTGGATGTTACTAGTAGAGTGGTAACTAATGACAATGTTTGAGGCGGTGTCGTCATTGTCAAAGTTGAGGAGTAAAGATTTTTTTTTTTATTGTTATCAATGGTGGTTTTTTTGTCACAGAGGACATGAGCCGTTGGATTTAGTTCATCGCTTTGATGTAATAATTCACCTTTTCGCGATAGTCGAAGAATCAAAGATTATCCTTAACTATTGCTCGTAGTCTCACCATGGTGGAGGCACCAATGTAAACTCTATCTAAGAGGTTGAATGTGAAGACAGAGATAGAAAGGATAGATGGGAAGCAGAAGAGTTTATAGTAGAAAATAGAAAGATCATGGTGACAAATTGAGTGACAGATATAATATAGAGAATGTACCATAAGGATGTGAATTTTATATTAATCTAAAGATTAAAATTGACGGACCACGGTAAACTATATGAAAGGGTTGATCACCCTATCCTTGGTCATAAAGTTATATAATTAACCTATTAATTGAATGTCATCGAATTTTGTAAATGAGTTAGCATATTTTTTTAACATTCATGTCTAAAGTCATGATTTTTCTTAATATTTACATAACTACTTATTATAATTCCTAATACTTTATATTTAGTCATTTTTTTTAAACTAAAAAAATAATCATTTCTAAACAAGTACTATTAAAAAAAGTAATTATGCTTCTTAAAAAAAAATTATTTAAAAAAATAAATTTGGACAAATACATCAAAAAGTTAAAAGAAAAAAAAATTATTTTATTTAAAAAAACGCATATTTTTCTTGTATATTTTCTTACTTTAAAGACTAACAAGAGAAAGAGTAATAGTTTCTTTTATTAATTTTGGTCAAAGGCTTGGTCTTTGGGTGGCATAGACACTTGAATTAACGAGGTTCAACCAGAGATAGGTTTTGGGTTGGGCTTATGCGTTCTTTTGTTGTTGGAAGTAATTGGTTAGGGCCATGAGTGGGCAAGGCAGCCCATATTTGGTAATTAAAACCCTGATTCACTTGCATCGCCTCCATTTCAATTCTAAAACCCTACCTCACTGAGTCACTCAGGCAGAGGCAGAGGCATGTCTCACTCAGAAACGAAGAAGAAGAAGCGCGGCGCCAATCCCGACGGCGAGGAGGCAAAGGAGGATGGCCTCATGATAAAGCCGCAGAGCTTCACTCCGCCGATCGACACCTCACAATGGCCGATCCTACTCAAAAACTACGACCGCCTCAACGTCCGCACCGGCCACTACACCCCCATCCCCTCCGGCTTCTCCCCCCTGAAGCGCCCCCTCCCGGAGTATCTCAAATACGGCGTCCTCAACCTCGACAAGCCCGCCAACCCCTCCTCCCACGAGGTCGTCGCCTGGATCAAGCGCCTCCTCCGCGTCGACAAGACCGGCCACAGCGGCACCCTCGACCCCAAAGTCACCGGAAACCTAATCGTCTGCATCGACCGCGCCACCCGCCTCGTCAAGTCCCAGCAAGGCGCCGGCAAAGAATACGTCTGCGTCGCCCGCCTCCACTCCGCCGTCCCCGACGTCTCCAAGGTCGCCCGCGCCCTCGAGACCCTCACCGGCGCCGTCTTCCAGCGCCCCCCCTTGATCTCCGCCGTTAAACGCCAGCTCCGCATTCGCACCATCTACGAGAGTAAGCTCCTTGAGTATGACCCTGATAGACACCTTGTTGTTTTCTGGATTTCGTGTGAGGCTGGTACCTATGTTAGAACCATGTGCGTCCACCTAGGGTTGCTCCTCGGTGTGGGGGGCCACATGCAGGAGCTTAGGAGGGTTCGCTCTGGGATCATGGGTGAGAAGGATAACATGGTGTCCATGCATGATGTCATGGATGCTCAGTGGGTTTATGATAATTATAGAGATGAGACTTATTTGAGGAGGGTTGTTATGCCTCTAGAGGTTCTCTTGACTAGCTACAAGAGGCTTGTTGTTAAGGATTCTGCTGTCAATGCTATTTGTTATGGTGCCAAGTTGATGATTCCTGGCTTGCTTAGGTTTGAGAATGATATTGATGTTGGGGAGGAGGTTGTGTTGATGACTACCAAGGGTGAGGCTATTGCTCTTGGCATTGCTGAGATGACTACTGCTGTTATGGCCACTTGTGATCATGGTGTTGTGGCTAAGATCAAGAGGGTGGTCATGGATAGGGATACTTATCCCAAGAAGTGGGGGTTGGGCCCCCGGGCTTCCATGAAGAAAAAGCTCATTAGTGAGGGGAAGCTTGATAAGCATGGGAAGCCAAACGAGAACACTCCCCAGGAGTGGGTTAGGAATTTGGTTTTGCCGGCTGGTACAGATAGTGTGTTTGCTGGCATGGCTGCTGCTCCTGAACCAGTGGGTGAGAATGTTAAGGAGGGAGATGGGGAGGGGAAGAAGAGAAAGAAGCATGAGAGTGAGGATAGCCCGGTTGTGGTTGCTGCTAAGAAGGTGAAAGTGGCGGAAGTGGAAGAGGTTGAGAAGCAGGAAACTGTGAAGGTGAAGAAGGTGGTGGGTGAAGAGGATGTGGAGGTTGAAGTTGAGAAGAAAGAGAAGAAGAAAAAGAAGAAGGATAAAGAGAACAAGGAAGTGGTGTCTTCGGATGAGGAGAAATCTGAGAAGAAGAAGAAGAAGCACAAGGATAAGACAGAAGATGGTTCACCCAATTTAGATAAGTCTGAGAAGAAAAAGAAGAAGAAGAAAGACAAGGAGGCTGCGGCTGCTGCTGAAATTTCCAACGGAAAGGAGGATGATAGCAATGCTGACAAGAGTGAAAAGAAGAAGCATAAGAAAAAGAAAAACAAAGATGCTGAGGAAGAATAAATGAAGGCATATTTTTGTGTTTTGGTTAAATAGACTCATTATGTAATGCCTATTTCTTGATCATTCAAAATTTATCGCTTTGTTTAGTGTGTTGTTGTCTTTTTAGAATTTTGGTAGTTTTTTCTCTTAATTTTCCCCCCAGCAAGTATGCTCTTCGGAAAACCTGTAGTATGCATAATCTTTTTGGCGTTTAATAGGTCTCTTACAATTGTTCCATTCATGTCTCTGGCCTATGTTATATCATTGCTTCATTGACATGTATCCGGCCTTTGTATTTGCATTGCTTCATTGTTCATCTGCTCAGATGCTTAGCTTTTCCATATACATATCTGGTATTTCAGAATAATCTTGCGGTATCTATTTCTGTTCCCATCTGGAACAGGGAAGTGCGGATGAACAATTTCCGGTTATTTGATAAAAATCGACTGTTCTTTGTGTTTACTTAAAGAGCCTTCAGGAATTGGCTGGTTGCAATTTGTCTACAAATCACTCTGCCCAGATCTGAAGCTCCAAGAGAACGCATCGAGTTGGATTTATCCAAAATAAATTCAGTTGGTTCACTTTTGGCTTTGATCTTGTCAAATTCGTGTGCTATATCTTAAACAATTTACTGATGGAAGGATTAGAATCAGAAGTTACTAGTGTTCGTATGGGTAGAAATGACTTGAATCATTAAATGTAGTTAGAATGTGAGACCATAAATTTGCTTTAGAACGAATGTCATGCGGTATGAAATTAATTTTGGTAGTTTTTCAAACGGACCCTTAATTGTGAGATGTGAAATTCCTATTCAGCACCGTTATTGTAATGAATTGCTTCTGGAACTATGCTTCTAAAATCCTGTAGTATGCATAATCTTTTTGGCGTTTAAATAGATCTCTTGCAATTGCTCCATTCATGTCTCCGGCCGGTGTTATAGTATTGATTCATTAACATGTCTAATAGATCTCATACAGTTGCTCCATTCAAGTTTCCGGCCCCTGTTAGAGCATTGCTTCATTGACAAGTCTCGGGCCCTTCTCTTTTGCATTGTTCACTTGTGTTTGTCTGCTCAGATGCGTAGCTTTTCGGCATACATTCTGAGACGAACGTGTTTAGAATAATTTTGCGGTATCTTTGCCCTGTTTCCAGCTGGAACTTGGCAGTGTGGATGGGCATTTTTGATCATCTATTAAAATCTCCGCTGTTATGTTGTTACTCAAAGCACCTTTAGGAATTGGTTGATTGTAATTTGTCTACAAATCACTCTGCCCAGATCTGATGCAGCAAGTGAATGAATCGAGTTGGATTTATCGCAAAATAAATTCAGTTAGTTCACTTTTGTCCATGTTCTAGTCAATTTCGTTTGCCGAATCAAACAATTTTCTGATGGAAGGATTAGAATCAGAATTCAGAAGTTACTTAATGTCCATATTGGAAACGATTTGAATCATTACATGTATTTAGAATGTGAAACCATAAATTTTGCACTATAACGAATGTCATGCGGTATGAAATTAATTTTGGTAGTTTTTCAAACAGACTCTTAATTGTGAGAAGTGAAGTTCCTATTCAGCACCATTATTGTAATGAACTGGCTGTAATATTCAACCTCCTGCGGATTAGAGGTGTTACGTGTTTTTTGGGTAGACAATTATTGCGCTGATTTCTTGGCTAAAATGCGAGAAAGATTAGAGGATTCTTTGGTCGTTCTTCACCATCCTCCTGCGGATTTGTGCTCGTTATTAGAGGATGCTTTAAGTGTCTCCTTTTTGCGGTTGCACTAGTTTTTCATTGCTGTCTTTTCCCTTTCTTTTCTCTTGTAGAAAAAAGGGCCGAATCTTTTCGTAATGTATTTCCTTATTCCGTAAAACTGTTATCATGTGCAAAACCACTTCACCTATAATTCTATGAATCGTGGTGTATCATTCCCAAACTTTTCATCCTTTTATAACAAATTTGGGGTTGGGTTCCATTGTTTTGCTATATTTTTTTTCCCTATTTATCTGCATACACTGCAATAATCACTTCTAAACAAGGAAAAGACATACTTTATTGGCTCTAGGAAATCACAATTTCATGTGAAGACATCGTATATGGAAATATCTGAGCAAAACTCAACAATATTTATTTGCAACTTATTGTTTTGCTATTATATACTTGAGCATCACATAAGCTGCTTATGCAGAAATTAAATTTTGAAGCTCTCACCTTGTAGAGAGCTACATATACATCTTAGTTGGCAAGTTAGCATAAGGTAGAAGAACAACATTACTAAAAGCTTGACAGAGAAGCGTTTGGCTTCTTCTGACTGCGGCCGTACCAGGACAAAAGGTTTTTCCCGTTGTAGGACTGTGACCTTTTCATTGAACTAGGAACACCCTGCAGATATCTTGTTAACCTAAAAGAAGCGTTACCTTTGGAAGTAGTCGCCAAATCATTTCCAGTAACCCCCTTTGAAGCACTGGGATCATCCATGGCCCTCGGCACTCTATTTGAGTTGCCATTAGATTCTTCTGATAGAACCTTTGCAAGAGCAAAATTGATATTTGCAACAGAATAAGAATCCAGAGAAACAGATCTTCTAGGACGAATGCTTGCCACCCCTTCAACTTGGCTCTCAGTTTCACACACCCTCACTCCATCTTCATCTTCATCTCCTAATTGGCCTTCTTCCTCTGCCCTATTATTCAATAAATCAGAATCCGGAGCACTATTTTCCAAAACTTGGGCATGGGAATTTCCCAAGGAACTTGACTCAACAAAACTAGACTCCATCCTAGCAGCTGCAAGGTCATTAACAATGGGAGCCCGGCACATGGGACAATTGGTATGAGACCTAAGCCAGGTATCAATACAAGGCAAATGAAAAGCATGATGACATTTTGGCAAAAGTCTGAGGTTTTCATCCTCTTGAAACTCACTCAAGCAAACAACACACTCCGTTCCCTCAATCAAGCCCTCGCCTTTCTTATACTTACAAACTGTGATGGCATTGATAATTGATTGCTGAAGGCCAAGGGTGCGAATATACCAGATGGGGTGGTCCACCATAGGACCACCATGCTCTTGATCAACAAAATCATCATCAGGGGTGTCCTGATTTTGGTGCCTTAATGATATCCTCCTCCTTGAGGTAAACCTGGTATAGATGGCACGGCAACAAACAACAAAGAAAGCAGCAGTCAGAAGAGCGAGGGCGAGGAACAAATAGGTGGAGACTCTGTGGTAGGTTCCTTGATCTGAGACATCAACATCTGAGTTGAAAGAAGGAAGTGGTGGTGGTTGCAGCGGAGGGAAATAATTAAAAGGGTATTGGGGCGGTTTGGTTAGGCAGATCTTGAGGCAAAGTGTGCAATCTGGTGAACAAGGCTCAGAAGCCTTCACATGGCAAATTGACGCACAGATTTCGGGAATCAACCTTCTGTGATGCAGCCCCATTTCAGAGAAGCGACCTCAAATCAACGTCGCAATTCAGAGTGTGTAATTGTTGAAGGTAGATGATCATGACGTGAGGTCTCAAACTTTGACTTCAAAGGATACATCAAAATTTTGTTTTTAAAGATGTTCACGTCCTACTGGTAGTGGTTGGATGTATTAAATAATCAATTTTTTTTTTAAAGCTATTATGACTCCATATATAAGTAATTCATTAAAGGGGCAGGCATGATCATATAGCTTAAAAATATAACTATTATAAAAGGAAATATATTTAGTGGATTTTTAGATACTACATTTTAGAAAATAAAGTATAATTAAATTAAATTTATGTATAATATTTTAAATTAATTATAATATTTATCGTTAATTTTTAATCAATAAATATTATTATATTTTATTCAATGAATTTTAAAAAGTCAAATCCATATTCTGTATAAAATTTTATCTTCATAACTATTTTTTCGTAATTTTTCTTTAAAATTTTATACCATAAAATATCTACACTTTCAATTAATTACACTCTAACGTTTTTCATTTTCCTTATTTTCATAAATAAGAGTAGGGGATTCAAACATATTTATTATATATAATTAAAATTTATGATAAATTATATGTATGCATATATAAATAAATGTATATATAAATTATATTTAAAATTTATATAAATATACATTTTTAAATA